AGATCTATTCTGCCAAGATCATATAAATTAACAGTGGCATTTAAATTACATGCCAATCCCTCCGAGAGTTGTCATGACAGAAATATATATATATATATATCTATGATAAAAACACTATAACATTTAAAAAAATAAAACTATAGCAGTTTTTGTCAGTATTTGTATATTAATTTGTATTTATATAGTATTTGTTTATAGCAGTATGTTATATTTAATTATAATTATTGCAGTATGTATAAATAGGTTTGTTACCAAGGCTACATTTCTGATTTCCCTTTACATTTTTGTGTTTGTTTTTGTCATATATTTATATTTTATTTTATTTCAGCTTGATCTAATTGATCCAACATTTTTTTTTAATAGATTTAGATTTAGTTAATAACAACACTGATCCAGACTCAAATAAATGATGTAAAGCGAGCCAGTCCTATTAGAGTTTGCCAGATCAAGAATATGCTTTCCATTTCTGTCCAACATGTGTCCACTCTTCACAGACTCTGCTAGAGAAAGAGCAGCTAGAGAAAGAGCAGCAGGAGATACAGAAGGTGTTTGCTGCAGTGATGGAGGCGCTGAGGGAAACAGAGCAGGTGCTGATCGCTCCTCTGGAGAATGGAAGGAGGTGTTTGGAGAATGAGATGGATGAGAAGACGCAACGAATACAAAAAGACATCCTCAAGTACAAGGAGGCCATCGACATTTTGCATCACACTAAGAGTGAGGAAGATGACATCCTCTTTATCCAGGTTAGTCAAACATGATGCACCGACTAATATTTTATGTAATAATTTAATTATAACAATTTTAGTAAATGTTTAATGCATGTTTTTCCCTTTCTCAGTCTTACCCGGCTGTGCCAGCTGAGTTCACAGATGACTGGACGGTTTCAATTGACACTGAGTTAAACTTTGGCACGATGAGAAACACAAAGGCAGCCTTAATGGCGGCGATTGAGACGCATCTGGAGAAACTTTGCACTGTCGGTGAGTGATTATATCTGAGAGTTGTGATGTAATTAGAGTTAGGCGTTTGGATAAGCTTATTTGAACTCATACTACTCTATTTGATTGCCCTTATGAAAAAGAAATACACTTCAGCATACATTTAGAAAGAGTACTTTTTATGAAAATCATATACTTTCAAAGATATACTTTATATTTTATACTAGTGTGAACTGAATGTAATATTTTCAGACACTTAACTGCATGTTAGATGCAATTAAATGGCAGTGTATTGTAGTTTAAATTTATATTTAATGCAATTTTGTTGAACTTTAGAGTATTTTTGACCCACTTAAGTATGACTTAAGTACATCTTTATATGTAATTTCCTAATTACTTTTAGTCTTTAAAATATGGTTAAAGTCTTGACAAGCTGACAAACATGTATGATAAACTAAAATATACTTTAATGGCATTCCTATTAAAACTTTAATTTGTACTTTAAAGTAAAACTTTTAATTTGACTATTACAAAGCACACTTTTTAAGTGTACTTAAGTGTGTTTAGAAACATAGTCATGAAAGTGTCTCTCTTTACTGTAAGTCACTTAAGTGGCCTTTTATTTCATTTATATTATATTATCTGCAAGTACAATTTCAAAATATACTTTTAAGATTTAAAGTGCACATTTAATACAATTAAGTGCACTTAATTAGGTGCACAGGCAAGAATGACACTTCAGATCTTGTGTTTTGTTGAGAAGAGGTGGACATGTACTTTACAGAAACATTTAAGTATCATTGTTTATGAATATGGTTATTGAACAGTATCAATGTGTATATCAAAAATCTTTATTATGGTTCAGACAGTCTCATGCTTGTAAATTTGATTTGTAAATTTGTTTACCATTTTATCTTTTCTTATTTCAGAAATTAGAAGGATCCACAGCTTCTCAGGTACGTGTTGGAAACATTTCTGAGCATGTTGCATGTTTACGAATCTCTCAAACGTCCAGTAACTGAGAATCTGGTCTTTGCGCAGTAAACGTAACTCTGGACGCAGAAACGGCGCATCCGCACTTACAGGTGTCCACAGACGGTAAAGAGGTGCGAGACACCGGAGAGAGTGACGTCATCCCGGGCAGCCCGCAACAGTTCGACCTGGTTGGAGGAGTCCTGGGAAAACCGCGCATCACGTCGGGAAGAGCTTTCTGGGTGGTGGAGGTGGGGAATAAGGTGGGCTGGGAGCTGGGGGTGATGAGGGACGGAGCGAACCGGAAGGGCAAAGTGTCCTACAAACCCAGCGAGGGTTACTGGGCCATCGTGCTCTGCGGTCAAAAAATTGGCGCTTTTGAAGACCCTCCAGTCCTGCTTCAGCTCTCCTCCAAACCCCGGAAGCTGGGAGCATTTGTGGATTATGAGGAGGCTATGGTCTCCTTCTATGATATGGAGGCTCTGTCACATATTTACTCATTCACTCGGTGCAGCTTTAATGGAGCCATCCGTCCGTACTTCAATCCTCACCCCAACAAAGACGGAACCAACTCAAGCCCGTTGGTCATTTGCCCTGTCAATCAAACTGACATCTCTGTGTGAAAGTAAGGCCTGATTTTGAGAGTTTGAAACTAAGAAGTATCAGAATATTCATAAATATTGACATTGACATGATTGCCTTTCGTTTATGTCTTTGTTTTCTTCTTTGGTATGATATCCTCTGTAGTACTTTGAGTGGTTTGAAAAGCAAACAAGCATTGAGGTGAAAATTATACATTGTACATCTAGAGATATTTATAGAGCATTAAAAATGTATATATATATTTAAGAATATTTGAATGAACAGGGTGCTGTCCTTCTTAATGTAATTTCTCCAAATTTCTACTAAAAATAATTTAAAAAATGTCTTTATAGAAATATTATATCTATCTATCTGTCTATCATCTATCTATCCATCCATCCATCTATCTATCTGTCTTTAAATGTGAATATTCATATGAATGTTAACAGACTACATGTTACTGTGAAATGGCAATTAAACTATTACACTAGCCAATTGTATATGCATGTGAAATGTTGCATTTATGCATTAATTTAATAAAATACTACGGAGCCCCGCAAATGACATGCAAGAAAAAATTAATAAATCGTGTGCACGATTTACTAATTCGTTCCCTCGATTTGCAAAATTGTGCACACGATTTATAAATCGAGAGAACGAAACAATTGATTTATTTTTTCTTGCATGTCATGTGCGGGGCTCCGTAGTATATAAAAAAAAAAAAAGTAATGTTGTGAAATAGTATTACAATTTAAAACTGTTTTCTATTATAATATATTTTATTATAGATATTATATTTTAATAATTGTAGGTATTAAGAGGGAGAGCTTGTCTATCCACACACTCATGAACAACTCGAGATCTTCTCATCTTTCACATTTCATGTAAATCACGGCCTGAGAGCAGGACTGACGAGTGAATTACACATGCAGATCCACAGGGAAGTGCTTGCTTGTTCCAGAGACTGGAGAAGAGTGCTGAGCGTTCTCAAAAAATAATTACTTTTATTTCTAACTGCTTGCATTAGTCACTTTCTGAAGTGTGGGCTTTTAATATCTGAATGAGGAAAACAATCTGTCAGGTTTGATAAAACTCTGCTGAGGAAAAAAAAATAAAAAATCCTGACAATGGTTCATAAGATGAAAGCATTTGAAATGTCAGCATTTGAGTGTTTCTAAAGACTTCAAGACGCAAACTACTCTGAGAAATGACGAGTCAGCCGGTGCTTGACACTCCTCACAGAGTTATTTGTGGTTTTCTGGCAGCCGCAGGAGTTAAGTGATGGATTCTGTGCAGAAGGTGTGTCAGGATCAGGTTAGGTGAGACATCATGATAAAATTATCACATTCACTTTATCGGTTCAGTTTAAAGTTCACAGATTCATGTGTTTTGCTGATCCCGGAACAATAGTGTTATCAAAGAAACATAATTTAAACCCTGTCTGTCACCCTAACCCAGGGGCAGACTGAGACTAAAAAGTGGCCCCTGGCACACACACCACATATAACACACTGGCTCATTATGCAAAGAGCAGTTTTCAACACCACTTACCAACTTAAAATTAGAACATAAATGATATTTAACATTTTTAACGGTATTTGTCCAGCTTTAGAAAAATGTGCCTAAGGTGAGCAGTAGTTTGCATCTCTAGTTATTACTATCAGTTATTTAACATTAGGATGGACATTTCTATAACACCAAAGAGGAGAACACTTAGCAGGATACGAGGCCAGGATAAAAACTGAATAAATAATCCCAAACTTTAAGCAGAGACAGACATTTTCCATTAAGGTGTGAGGTTTTTTTTTATTTAATTTTTTTATAAAGGCAATTTTTCTAACCTTTTTAAATCTCTGTCCCCTTTCATTTAAATATTTACATTTATTCAATAAATGCAATTGGAATAATAAGACAATACAGGGCTGTTACCGATCAAATGAAAATCAGACAAAATCAATCTTTGCACTGCAGAAGTGGCATTTAGACAAATTGTTCACAAATGCATAATGTAATAAGGTTAATATTTGAAATTATATATATATACACATACACGCACACACACGCGCGCACACGCGCACACACACACACACACACACATATATATATGAAATTTTGCGGGTAAAATAAGAAAGAAATTATACTTTAAATATGAAACTAATACTGCCAGGTAAGAACAAGTCACTGTCTTAATGAATAAGTCATTGGTTCATTTCTTCATTAATTCAGCAGATTTGTACAGAACGGCCGATTCATGCAAGAATGAAGCAAGTGACTGTCTTAATGAATGAGTCAGTGAATCTTTACAATTCATTAAAACACGCTGAATCATTCAAGAACGAAACAGCACTGTGTTAATCTGAGATGCAAACGTTCTTCTGTGACTATTTTGGAGCAAAAACAGTATTGGAAATTGGCTGCATTATATAATATAAGCTTAAACTTAGCCTACAGTATGTTTTAATTCATTAACTTTATTTATTAATTATATAACATTGAATAAAGTATATAACAGTGATGATCTTAAAAGGAGGGCAAATGAGTCGGACAGATGGCCTCCCTATTTAACATTTTTATCTTAATCATTTGGCAAATACTGCTGTTTTCAGCCTCGTCATGTTCAGCTCGTTACATCTTACCTCACATTCTGGCCATGCAATAAACCTGATTACATTTTTTGTAGAAATATATATATACACTTGCACTGATTTACATGAATATTTCAATTTTATTTCACTTTAAATTATATTTCATGTATATTTCAGTCTTGTACGCTTTGGTTGTTTGTGAATAATTCCTTTTTGCGTGGCCATGCAATAAAACTAAATATCTATAATATGCACAAAGTAACCGTATAGAAACAGAAGTACTGTAGAGTCATTGCGTGGCTCGTGCTTCAGCACTGTTTAGTATGAGACGTCTCCTGCACAGGACAGATCATCATGGTGTCTGACGCCTTGTCGCAGCAGTAGAGGTAGAAAAACGGGAAGAGTTTCTCTTTAAACGAGTCCATAAAGGTGTAGATGTGACCTTTGTTTTGTACGTCGTAGAACGACACCTGTCCTTCTTCGTAGTCCACATAGACGCCCACTCTCTTCAGCTTGGGCTCGATGGAGAGCAGGAGGGGTGGAGAGGAAGAAACGCGATATTCCTGGCCTTTCTTCATGGCTAGAGCCCAGTAGCCGTGAGCAGTGCTCACTGAAATCCTGCCTTTTCTGTTGACGGACGCCCGGGCCACACCGATGTACCAGTCGTCCTTCTCGCCCACCTGGACCTCCCAGTAATGGCGTCCCGAGGACAGTCCCTCGCGGCTGAGAGTGATCACCACTGTATCGAAGCGCTCAGGTGTGTCAGCCAGGTCCTGCCACGAGCCCAGGTGACGCATCTGACGGCCGTCCTCGGACAGCTGCAGCCAGGGGTTCGCCGTGTCCGGGTCAAAGGTTATGTCCACTTCATAGGGAGCATACAACAGAGACGTGAGCGAAAAACCAAACAGACAGGATGTCATAAACACACTTAAATGCAAAGTGGACTAGTGATGTATAACATATCAAATGTACAAGGAAACATTACCTGAGTACTTTTGAACCCTCTTCAGCTCTGTTAATGATGACAAAAATAAATAGAATGCAATTAATTTGTTTTACAGGTTGGATTTCACTGAAGGTTTTTCTTTTTCACTTCTGTTTTTCTGCCTTATTAAGATGGTTGAGTGTCTCATTTATAAATACAGAGTTCTGGCATGACACTCTAGATGGCGCAGTCCGATAGGTCTAACTTTATCTGACCTAATGACATCATTATCACATGGCACAGCTGATTGGTTCTCTCCTGTGTCGGTAGCCAATGAACTTGCTGCTCAACATTCAAATATATGACTAGTGCTTGCCGTAGCAGTGCAGCTTGATTCAGAAACCGTCCACCTTCCCCAGCTCCACCTGTATAGATCTGCTACAAGGTGAGTCATGTATGCTATATGGGGGTTATTTCATGTATGTTATATTTATATAATGACACATTTGCAATGATGAAGTTGCAATATTATTCATTTAAAACTTTAAATGTAACATTGAATAACACTATGGTTAACTTTGTGCTTCCAAACCTGTTCCCGGAGGGTCAATGTCCCGCAGGGTTTAGCTCCAACACGCTTGCCTGGATGTTTCTAATAAGTCCGAAGTGCTTGATTAGGTGTGTTTAATTATGGTTGGAGCTAAATTCTCCAATAAGTCCGAAGAGCTTGATTAGGTGTGTTTAATTATGGTTGGAGCTAAATTCTCCAGGAGCAGGTTTGGACACCCCTGTACTGCTTTAAAGGATGATAAAAGAATATTAAAATATAATGATTTAAAATTAACTTTAATTAAAACTTGTAATTTGATATCACAAAGGGCACTTTTTAAGTGTACTTAATTGTTAAGAAACAGTCATGAAAGTGTCTCTCTTTAAGTACATTTAAGTGGCTTTTCATTTCATTAATATTATATTATCTGCAATTACAGTTTTTTTTTTTTTTAAATATACTTTTAAGATTTGAAAAACACTACAAGTGCACATTTGGTACAAATAAGCACATTTCACTTTCATTAATTTTTCACAGTTACAACCAACCTGATTTAAAGCAGTGCCACTTGAAAATAAAGTATCTGTGCAGAAAAGTGTTCTTACCTATTTCTGCAAGTTTTTCTACTTCTTCAGTAAGAGTCTCCACTAGTTTGAGCACAGCTCTTCTGGTGGTGCCCACACATAGATCCGCATACACACAGGTCTCAGACCAGTCTTTAGTGTGTGGGCGAGACATTAACGATGGAAAGTTCTAGAGGAGAAGAGAGTGGACATTAAAGAAGCTGACATACAACAGAGATCTGCAGACTCAAACATTCTGTAAAACATCCTTTGAATGTGGTTGCAATCAATGATCACAAAACATGTTAGATGCCATTTACACCTGTACAATTAGTTTATACATTAGTAAGAATTATAATGTCACTTGCTCAACATGAAAAGCATCTCTGAAGTAAAATGCTCCACCTGCAAGAAGTGAATGTGGTCTTCAGTGTGAGAGAGATACTCTAACTCTGTGTTTCTCAATTTCAGAACATCTATTTCCTGCTCTAGTTCTTGTATTTGTCCGGTGGCCCAGCTCTCGGTCTTCCTCTGTTTCTGCTCGATGTCCAGCACCAGCTCAGCCTGGGCTTTCTGGACCGCTCGGATCAGGTCCGAGAACACCTGCATGCTG